CAGTGAAATATGTTAATATGCATGGAAATATTGCTAATAGATTGCCATTTGTGACAGATAGTAAACCACCTCATCTGTGCAATAAACTGTGACACAACTTGCTCCTTTTCCGAAATGCTTATAGAAGCAAGAAACGCCAATTCATGAAATATTGCCAACTTAATTGCACTAAAATTATTTCTGAACTTGCTTGTATGTGCAATAAATAAATAATGAATCACTATAGCAATCAGTTTACTATATAATTCTTAACTAAACTCAAAGATTGGGGGTAGATTTACCTATTTCTGTAACTAGTTGTTAATCAGACTGATCAGTAGTAACCAGGGTTGGGGATCTGGTTTGAAATCACAATAGATCTAGTCCCGTTATTATTGAAAGCTGAAGATGATAGGGCATTGTAAATATGACATCATTGAGCAAATAATTTGTTAGCTCCGGCTAATATGGTAAGCTTGAGATTAGTACCAAGGCCAACAAAATGTTATTAAGGCTCCTTAGCCCTGGATGTTACAAATAAAATTTGGCAGCCACTCTGATACTTGAGTAAGCATGTGAATGTGAACATTGTTTTTGTACCTTTGACTCTCATTTGACAAAACTCGCAAAGGAATAGTTTTCCAATATGGGATGTAAAAGGGTTAAAGGTCTAAAAAAATATCCATTTTATGATGCCTTAATGATATCTGATATATGCTTCACTACTACCTAGAAGTTTGCATCCACTTAATTCCTGAACATTCTAATTTATGGGACATTATAAAACCTGCAGGGACGAACATACTTTTCACACCACCTCAGTCACTTATCACAGCTAAGTTACTTTCTTCATCAGCTTATGTATATTATAGTGTTGTCCCATAATTGCCAAGCTGAACTGACTTTACGTACAATTTGTTTTTCATTTTTGATCATTGTGCATTTGCTATTTAATTAATATATCTTTTCATCAAATGTAATAAAAATATAAATTTGCAAAAATATATGAAAATTCGACTAGCGTTGTTCTTGCTATATTGTGAGAGGAATGCAGGTATATGCAATTGAACCTACTTCGGCAGGCATTGCATTATGCAGACCAGGGTCATCTCAACTGAGAATTATCTCTTTGCCATAACATTCCACATATAACATCAAGGATTGGTGCAATATCATATATTTGCTCTGTTGCCTGTAAAATTGAAGTTTTTTTTCACTCCATGATAGAAGATGCAGGGTCAGGAAAGAAAATGAAATGCAAAAAATTTGCATATGATATCGATTAGATTTACCGTACCCTAACAAAAACAACTTCATATTTACCTCGAAGAGAGACAATAAGGTGTTTAGTTCAGTTATTAACCAGTGAGTTCCAGATACATGGACTTAGATGTAGGATGTAAGTCAGCTAACTCAAATAAAAAAGAACTTGGCATTTACCTCAGGGGAAGATAGTTCAGGGATAAATTGATGAGTCAGTTATTTATTTAAGGTACAAGGGCTAAGAGGCACCATCATGCTGCAAAGATATGCTCCACAGCGGGGTGAATGACAATTCAATGGCACCAAAACGATAGAATATGCTTTTTTACGGTAGAATAAAATTCACCACATTAGAAAGTAATCCTTCTAAGAACTAGTCTTTCAAATGATAAAGAATTTTATACTCCCTTACAGGTTTGTTAAGATAGGTATTTTTTGTTCTGAGCAAAGGTATTCTCCATGCTTGAGCAAGATCTCTCAATTCCATTTCTGATATATCACTGTGTATATACTGGTCAGCTCTGTGAAAAAAAATTGTATCAATGTCATCAGTTATGAAGAGGAAACATGACTGAAGTTTATTATGGTGTCATATTGATATATAGATTTCATTACATACTGATACGTTTATTTTGACAAAATGAGAATATACCTCCGTCTATGTCTCTTTGGGCTGGGAAAACGCACATTAATGTAATGGTTATCTCTCATGATTATGAGCTACTATTTATTAAAAAACTTCACATAAAGATATAGGAACATACCGTGTCCCCATGATGATTTGTGCTGGTTTACGACCTTCTAAGTTGTTATCATCTCCCATCATTCTACTTATTAATTGAGGAATATCTTCAAAGCTTGATCTATCGGTAAACGAAAATGTGTAAATATAGCAATCAGCATTTGACTGGCATGCCTGAAATAAAAATTGAGAGTTTCTACTCATTAAACATAGAAGATGAAACCTACACAGCATTGAGAATAAAGATTCAAACTTTCATAAATACTTATCGATTTTAAGATCGGTACGTGTGTTTGTCTGTTAGATACACACGATATCTCACGAAAGCAAGGTTGAATCTGCTCCAAATTTTGCATGTGCATTTATCATATCTCGGACCAGAAGCCTATTGATTTTGGATGAATTATGCCATATAATTAGCGAGTTATTATTTCATTAGTGATGGGACACACGCTGTCGCCATGGAGTAGGAGCGGATGAATCGAAACCCCAGTTTCTGTTTTGGGGAATCCCCTAACTTTCGGTCGATTGGTCTTCGGTCTCCGACCGATATTCTCGTTTATAAATTTGTTCTATCGAGTTTTGCAAAAACATATCAAAAAATATTGCTATTACTCAGGGCTTATTTGTGAATTCATAGATCATTCACAGGAAACAACGGAATGAAACACAAGGCTAAATGTGTCAAAGTCGTCAAGTTGAAAAACAATGTAAAGGATTTATAGTATTTTAATTAACATTAAATCTCTAAATTATTTGAGAAAAATTAGTTTAGTTTCAAGTATTTAATAAACGTTTGTTACTAACTGGTAAAATGTGTTCAAACTTTCTTATTGCATTATCTCCAACATCCCATATATTAAGACGAAAGAAGACAACTTTATTTGTCGCTTTCACTCGCACTGGCCAATAAATAGAAGTTGTTTCGATACCTAAGATTAAAAATAAAACATGTCGAAGAATATGTTTTAAATTAGGCCATCGCTTTGCATGAATATACATTGATCATTCAACAATTTCTAGAAAACCAATGTGACATAAAAGGAATACGTATAAGACTCTATACTAAATAAATCAATGTTGGTACAAAATTGATCACATATATGCTTTATATAGTTACTCTATTTTAAAGTTTATCAATTATAAAGATGTTGTTATATTGGATAAATAACAATGCATACCTGCAGTTTCACTGAAAACATTTGGTATTTTGTTGCCTGCTAACTTTGCCACTGTTGCAGTCTTCCCGACACCTGATCTTCCACAAAGGAATATCTTGTATTCGACAATAGTAGTTTCTCTGAAGGTTATTGGAACACAAAATTAAATCTCAAAATAGATTTAATAAAACAAAATCTGCAGATGCCAGATAGGTTCAATTGAATGCTACAAAATATAACATGAAAGGAGTATTTATACATATTAACATATATTGAATGGAAAACAAGAGAAAGAGACAAGTGAAATAAAATTAGCTATGCTCTCAGTTAGATTTCATCAGAAACAAAGGTTCCTTTTGATTCATACTCGTCTTGGGCTATTGTTCCATAAATCCTTAATATTTTGCACGCAAATATATCACAGAATTCAACATAGTATCAGAATAATGAAAAAATTTAACTGTGTCTTAAGACTGTAAGAGCAGGGCTTGCCAGTCTGAAGTGATTGTTTCTTATATTCCTATAATAAATATGCACTTACTTGCTAGGTGGAAGAGAGGGCCTTTCAAGAAGTCCAAACTGTCTGCGTTGGCCTCTAGAACATTACAAAGAATAAATTCACAGGCAAATTTATGTTAGTAAAGCCATAGACCAGAAACAAAAGCACAATCACCAAACTTTGTTTGAATATTAGGCAGATTTTGCTAAAATAGAATTTGAGAAGAATGAGGTAGTAGAGAACAAACGATATTCTTATGTTGTGGACACTGCAAGAAGCCTCAGAATTACATTATCTGTAAGGTGGTATGCTGGCACGAGGGAGAGATGTACCCGGCAAGTTACAATGAAGTAGCTGCTGGTCTGTCTTTTAATACACTTAAATTGTCAACCTTGATACTCCTAAATATTCCCCAAGCCGAACTATATATTTGGCTATTCAATCCAACAAATTCATTCCAATTTAAAAAAGTATTTATACCTGTGTAAAAGGGACTTGAAAAATTCATTTGCGAATTCAGTTCGATGCCATTCCACATCAATAATATCTCGTAAAGATTCGTTTACCATAATGACCACACAGTTTGAATTTGTCTTCTCAATGAAGTGTCAAATATCAACGCGAAGGCACATCTGTTATTTCACACCAAGTAGCACTGGAACAAAGTAATTAATATCGAATCGAGTAAAACAGCGACCAAATGAAATAAATTTGGGCTATGGATGATCAAAGCATAGTAATATCGTAACTTAATTCTTTTTTCTCTTCGTTTGAAATTTCTTCTCGGATCGACGGTGCAAGTCTGTCGTACCATTTGGTTTTGTTCGTCGCGAGCGAAAGTTCTCTCTCGTCGACGTGTGATTTTGTTTGTTGTTATGTGTCGCTGGGCGTTGTTTGGGCAGGATTGTCAGACTGGGCTTAGTTTTAACGAAATGTTGAATGTGATGAGTATTTACAGATTTATGGTTTCATTTTCAAGTGTTTATTTAAAAAGTAACAGCGTCATTGACTGCGTTTGGCAGTACACAAGTGGAGGACTACCGGTATGACATGACTGTATGATGGTATGAATCATTGAATACGGTAATTCTGTCATACTGTCATAAGATGCGTCTCTTCAAGTAATCAATTCAATTTTGCGACCAAACGATATCTCAATATTTTAGATAAATTGATCTTACTGTCTTAAGGCATAAGGGGTAGTCTAGAAATAGGAGAGGAAAATATAATTCTGCAGTTTTTACATTGTCAGATTGTTTTGCGTGCTAATGATAGGCTATAGGCTAGTACTGTAGTACTTGCAGACTTGTCTCAATGGTGATCTACAGATCTAGTCTATATACAGCGAAACCTCAATTAGAATTATAACTTCTGAAATTATCTTTTAGCTTATTTATATGCTATGTGTTTTGGCTGTATTCTTTAACTTCATTTGAAGGACAAATAGCATGGTGAATGGCGTCATGCAGCGCTCTATTGCAGAACATTTTGCATCTGAGAAGTCTCGATTGATGAGAGGGACACGTAGTCCTGCTCACAGTGCTCATTCAAGTTTTTATCGCACAAGAACCCTCCAACACTTATCACAAGAAAAGAAAGCAAAGCGAGTACAATTTTATCGCAGTGGTGACCGTTTTCATCAAGGTATCACATATGCTATTTCAAGTTCACGATTCCGTTCTTTTGATGCCCTTTTAACTGATTTAACTCGTGCACTCAAAGATAATGTTAATCTTCCATTTGGTGTCCGCTCCATTTTTACTATTGGCGATTGGCGAAGAATTACCAGTTTAGATGAGCTAGTGAATGGACAAAGCTATGTCTGCTCTTCATCTGAAACCTGCAAAAGACTAGATTATCTGCGGAATGCTTGTCCGAACTGGTCGCAAAACTCCGAATTGAAGTCTAGATCAATGTCAAGATTACCTGATGGTAGACAATCTTTCAATGATCACAATCGATTGTCAGAAGAGCGAAGATCCTCCTTCAGATTAAATCGTGATTTTATTAGACCAAAATTGATTACAGTTATAAGAAATGGTGTTAAACCAAGAAAAGCTATCAGAATACTGCTCAATAAGAAGACAGCTCATAGCCTTGAACAGGTTGCGAATGAAATTACCTCGGCTATAAAGCTTGACACAGGTGCTGTCAGAAAAATTTATACACTTCATGGTAAGGAAGTCACACAGTTGAGTGATTTTTTTGAAGATGATGAAGTTTTTATTGCTTGTGGATATGAAAAGTTAACTCATGATGATTTTGAAATCAATAATTCCGAACAAGGCTTCACGAAACCTATCTCAACACCACAAGCTCCTAGAAGAAGTTTTCGGGTAAAATCCGGCGCAAGAACGCAACCTCCTCAGAAACCCAAATCAAGGATGCGGCAGAGTCAAGATCAGCGAGAAGGAAATGTGACTTTAAACCCCACTAATGACTTGGCAAGATCTCTAGCGGATGCTGAAAAGGAAGAAGATCCCATCATAGCTTGGCCTCGAGACCTTGTTCGACAATATAAAGTTAGATCAATGCTGGGTGATGGAAATTTTGCAACAGTGAAGGAATGCATTCACCGCACCAGTGGTATAAGATATGCCATGAAGATCATAGATAAAACAAAAGGTACGGAACCGGGCCACAAAATCGAGAATGAAGTTTCCATCTTGAAGAAAATTGAGCATCCAAATATTGTCAGAGTATTGCAAGATTTTGTTACAGAAACTGAAATTTTTTTGGTAATGGAGCTAGCAGAAGGTGGCGACCTTTTTGATGCGATTACATCAGGTTCTTGTTACACGGAACGAGATGCAAGTGGCATGATTTATAATTTATGTAGTGCTTTAGCTTATCTTCACAACCTCAATATAGTTCATCGAGATGTGAAACCAGAAAATCTTTTGCTTTTCGAATACTCAGACAGCAGTAAGGCATTGAAACTAGGAGATTTTGGTCTTGCGACAACGGTAGATGGACCGTTATACACAGTTTGTGGAACACCAACATATGTCGCTCCCGAAATTGTGTTACAGCAGGGATATGGTGTTCAAGTTGATGTTTGGGCTGCTGGTGTCATAACTTACATTCTTTTATGTGGATTTCCTCCCTTTCAGTCTGTTAAAAACCTGCAGGAAGAACTATTTGATTCGATTCTATGTGGACATTATGAATTCCCTTCTCCTCACTGGGATTTTGTTTCAAAGTCTGCACAAGACCTCATCAACAAAATGTTACAACATGATGTCAAAATAAGATTAACAGCATCTCAAGTTTTGGAACATCCATGGGTATCTGGAGATGAAGCCTCTGACCATGACATGAAGATGTTAGTATCTCATACCTTATTATCTCATTTTCAGCGTCCAGCATCAGGAACTCATCAGCGTGGTAGTAAAAAAAGAATGTAAGCACTGTACAGTATGCCATTTTTAAATTTAGTTTCTGGTTCCATCAAACACACAGGAAATCTGTTATAAGTACAGTATGTTGCAGGCTTTGGGATTTTCCACTTTGTATATTTAACATGGAGCACTTTTTCAACACACTGAAAAACTTTTTTATATAACTGCTTCCAACATCCGATTGCACAGTTTTTCTTTCATTTCCTATAACAATCATTACAAAATAGCTTTTGTTTTATAAATCGTGAATGCAAATACCAAGCTGCTACTTTGTGCTCAATCATATCTTAAATTAGGAATTTGAGAGAACATTTTGGTCTGAATTTTGTTGTTCTGTATCGGTGGAATCATTGTAAAATTTTGTAATATTGTGTCCAAAATATGTTCCATTTGTCTGCACTGAAATATATTATCTGCACGGGTATTTTTTTTATTATTTGTTTATATAACTGGTGAAATATGGTATAAAAATATTTTATTTGGCAAATTTTCTTTCCGTTAAATTTAACCTTTTTGAGCAGTCTGGTTAAAATTCAAATTTTCGTGTATACTTCAAATTTCTAGTATACTTTTCAATAAGCATGTGATTTGAAAATAAATCGCTAATGAAATTCTCATTGTTACCCCAATATAGCATTTTGTTTGTCTGTTATTTTTTTCTTAAACTGTCAACTCATTGTTTGGTAGTATAACTATTTCCTTCCATCAAATTTATTTATGCCAGATGTCCTCTGACTGCGATTGCACACATTAAAAAGATATGAATTATTCATTAGCTTCTTTCTTTATTATTATTTATCAGAAACCAGTGTTATATTTTTTACATAGCATATGCCATCATCTTGTACATTTCATAGTCTATCACTGTTTTTGTATGTATTTATACCACCAGCAGGAATATTCAAGTTGGCTTAATGCCTGGTCGATCTCTCAATTAATTTTGATTTTCTCGAATATCACATTTTTTGCTCTAGGTAACAAAAGTTGTTGAATTTTACATTCTCAACTTCTAAATCGTTGTTATCAATGTCTAAAATTTATTCCACTAAGGACTGATGATAATGAGATTCATCAATTTATACAAAGTTTAACATGAGCTATATTCTTGAAAAATGTCGAAAATAATACCATCAACCAGTGTTTTTTGCATGTTGTGGAAAATTTCCAAATATATGTACTGATTGTTTTTGTTGAAACTTGGCTGTTCTTGGGATTGAGAGGGAGATTCTTGGGATTGAGAGAGAGATTATAAGATGGGGTACAAGTAGGCTTACCATACGTCCCGGGATAGTCCGGGTTTTAGCATGTTTTTCCGCGGTAGACCTGCGGCTTGTCCAATCCGCACCGTCCCTTTTTTTGCTTCAGATATATGGTAAGTCGAGGTATAAGTCAAGTTTTTTAGGAGATTTTTTTTTTATAGATGAGACTTTAATGGACCTGGGTTGTTATTAACAACCATTATCCAAATGCGCCCCCTAACCTACGAGGAATCGTATAAATATATATCACCTAAAGATGAGACGCGGGGCTGCGTTCCATTCAGACTGACATTGGTGTGCGGTATTGGATAGGCGATGAATTGTCACAGTTCCGCGGTATAAAGAGCGTAATCTGACATTCATCACTCACAAAGTTCAATTTTTACCTCTGGCAATTTTATCTGCTAGTTGATTTTATAGCAGCGTTATTATTCACTGTATCATAGTACTTGGTTCCGATTTTAAATCTTGCATTTGTATATCTCAACTATGTGCGTCTTTCTACCAAGGCGTTTGTAAAAAAGTTTCTTTCCATATACCTATTTTATTTCTCGGGGAAGTTGTTGGATTTTCCACAATATGCTGGCAACAATTCGAGTGGTAAAAAAAGTAATCTCATTTAAAAAAGCCTGTGTGCATTAGGGTTCTTAACAGATGCTTAATAGCATGTTTCGCAGACTGGCTTCTGTCATCTCGTCGATGCTCCGTCATACTGCCAAGACGACCGTGCAAGTAGAATGAATAATTTATTACTTACTGTCCTTACAACGGATCATGAAACCATACCAGGCCCAGAATATACCGGTAGAAAACACCAGCGAACATATTCGGTGCCTAACATACCGTAGCGTGCTAAACATTTGTGGAAATCTCAAATTACAGTTCTTGCTGGTATTAACGCGATGAATCAGACATTTTTTCGATGACTCCTCACCGACGAGGGACAAAAGCCGAACTCCCCAGTGGATTGGACGCTGACAGTATTGAACTTCGCTCTGAATTTATTAAAAGTAGATATCATCATAGCAAATCGTTGCAATCCCACAGCGGGCTAAACGATAACTAACGATCGGTTGGCGACGAAAATATCAATAATGCCGAATATTAGACGAGGTCGAAGTTTCTTCATATTATTTTTTCATCTACGTTCACGATATACCACATTTTTATCATGGAAACCCATCTCTAATTTTTCTCTGAAAGTGCTAATTCGTGCAAAGTTTATATATATATATACAAGTAACTGGCGTTTCACGTTACCGCTGGTCGGTGACGGCTCTCTCTACCATCGAGTCCGTGCATCTGATCGGAGATGTTTCCATTCGCCTTGTTCTAAAACTTCATTTTTACATGAAGGTAATATTAATTCGTATGTTTAATTGACATTTTATATTTGTGAGTATAAATTGTAAACGTAAACTGCATCGTATTCATACTGGTTGACGAAATAATGAATCTCTCTCACTTGTCATTGGCATAACTAGGGCGCGTGTCTCTCGAGCTTTTCTCTAATTTTACAAGGCCTGAATGGCGCTCAAATTTGAGCACACGCAGAATGCTTCAAAATTTTGCCATTGGGTAACTTGAGAAAGTTTAATGACTGCAGAAAATACGTAGGACTCATTTGTACTTTTACACTTCACACGCAGAATGCTTCAAAATTTTGCCATTGGGTAACTTGAGAAAGTTTAATGACTGCAGAAAATACGTAGGACTCATTTGTACTTTTACACTTCACACTTATTTTCCTATTTATACTATATATATATTCAATCCACCGCTATTAATTCATGATCATCAATTCATGGCCCCCATGGCCCCATCCGATCTTCTGAAGTTTGGGCTGCTTTAAATATCGCTTTATACGGGAAACGCCCACACAGTTATAAGTTTTCGTATATATATATATATGTTGTTTGTTTCCGCCGATTGGGACTGTCATCTCTGAAAACTGATGGTCCTATAGTGCTAAAGCACTGTAAAAGTAAAACAGATAAAGTTTGCATAAAACAGAACCAACCCACACGCATTCGGATAAAACAATTATTACATATTTTGAACTGTATAATTGTAAATAATTAATTCCAGTTTCGCAAAACATGCACTGCGAGAGCTTGAGAAAGTTTGTTTCGACGAATTATGGAAACGTTTGAAGGTTAAATCGATGGTAAATCAGCAAATTATCTGGCTGTAAAAACATGAAAGGTAAAAAAAGAAGCGCGACTTCAATCAAAAATAAAACGCTGTGCTTACTAAGAGAATAAGAGAGCTACGCTCAAATATATGGACATGTAGCGCCACCTAGTGGCAAATTCGGATGACGTCATAGCACTCAAAATACGAATCCCATGTAGCTCACCGAAATATTTGGAATGAATGCAAAAATAGCCTTCCAGGGGAAAATTCCATCTTCAACCACTGAAAATTTCAAAGCAAATGGTCCAGTAACCAATGAGAAAAGCGACTTTCCTTCCTAGTCAAACTGTGCGATTAAATAATTATTCCTTTTCATAAAATTTGTGATGGAATATTATTGTTGTAACTGAAAAACAAAATATTTACTTGACTCGAGCTGATTATCCCTTTTAGCTCTTAGCAACTTTGCTGAGGCGCGCTCCTGCATGTCTGTCTATACGCCAATACTCAAGCGTGGCAGAATAAGTATATTTCGTTCTTCTTAATTAAAATGAATCCAACTAAATCCAACAATTACGATGAAAATTCGGTTTTCATAAGACTCAGAAAATAAGTAACAACTTTCTAGCGGTTCTGACACCCACCTTACAATATTATACTGAAAGTTTGAATTCGGATTGTTCACGAGTTTCGGAAAAGGATATTTTTTATCAACAGCTAAAAAATATAGCAAAGCGATCCATACGTACGTATTTCTAATAAATGTGTATAAATTTAAATTTTCAGCTTAGGTGTGTACTTTTTCTTCTCATCCCGAAAACATTCCAGGATTTTTGAGTCAAAATTTCGGGGAATTCTGATTCTTACATTTCTTCACCACCAGAGGACACTCGAGATCAACTCGTTTCATTGTTTGAATATTAGAATAGAAAAAAAAAACACATTGTAAAGTGTAAACCATGTTTATGAAATATAATGGGATTAGTTTTAGTATAGAGTACAGGCCATCAGCAAATGTGACGCGGGACACAGATTATAATTCGGGTCTGAGTTTGGACCACCCTGGGTTAAATAACTACCTCAACAGCAACAGTTGTCCAAATCTAAAATTCCCGATTATTTCAATTAGAAATTGAGATCTTGAATATTGCTATTCGATAACCAGCTATGAATTATTCCTTTTCATGAAATTTGTGTAGGAATATTATTTTTGCGGCTGAAAAACAAAATATTTACTTGACTCGAGCTGATTATGCCATTTCAGCTTTTAGCTACTTTGCCGAAGCGCGATTCTGTATGTCTATACGCCAATACTCAAGCGTGGCGGAATAAATATATTTTGTGCTTTTTAATTAAAATAAAACCAACCAAATCCAACAATTAGGATGAAATGTCGGTTTTCATAAGACTCGGAAAAAAAGTAATGGCTATTCAGCGGTTTTGACAACCACCTTACAGTATCATACTGAAAGTTTGAAATCGATTAGTTCATGAGTTTCGAGAAAGAATATTTTTCATCAACACCTACAAAAATGTAGCAAAGCGATCCATACGTGCATATTTTCTATAAATGTGTATACTTTCTAATTTTCAGCTTATGTGTGTACTTTTTCTTCTCACCCCGAAACATTCTAGGATTATTGAGTCTAAATATCGGGGAATTCCGATTCTTACATTTCTTCGCCACCAGAGGACACTCGAGATCAAATCGTTTCATTGTTTGCTTATTAAAATAGAAAAAAAATGTTGTGTACCAGTTTATGAAACATACATACATACATTAGTTGGTTGAGTATATCGTGCTTATTTCTAAGATCTGTGGTTATTTTCTATCCCGCGTCTTATAAAGTAACGATGTGCTTATTTCTAAGAAAAGTGCTTATTTTTGATCTGTGTGCTTATTTTGTCTTAAGAAACATGGATGACTCGTACATGTTTCGGGTATGAAGCTTCTGTGGAAATAAGGGGCGATGTTTATTATTATTATAAGTCGATGGTAATTCTGAGTATAGGCCATTATTTGTTCAAAAGACCACGCGGAAGAGTTTCCGCGATTGCTATCGTGCAGTGAAACTCCACAGCAGTGGTTCTCAAACGCTGGGGCGCGCCCCACAAGAGGGCGTGGACAATTTTTGAGCAGGCTAATTAAAAATAACAAGATTTGATCTTGCCCGCCCTATTGAACTCCAAAAATCATCGAATACCCTCCAATATTTGTTAGATTCACGATGTGCGTTATCCACCACAAAACCTCGAATTAAACATCTTGTCAGTCAAAAACAACTGCACTAATAAAAAAATAACAACAAGTTTTGCTTGTTTTTAAAACCCTATTTATTTCATTATTTACGTTCCATCCACGTATCATTAACGTGTTTTCTGAATGAAACATACTTTCGGCTTACTCTATTTTATTTGTAGCTTATTGTTTGGAAGGTATTTTTGAGGTGGGGCACGAGAATTGACAATTTTTTTTGTAATGTGAGAGTGCGGGTGGCGGAAACGCGTTTGAGTATGACGTCACTTTCTATTGACTACGCCACAATGAACAACTTTGCTTGATAGAAATCTGTGATCCTTATGTCATGATTTATTCAGTGTGCTTGAACGCTCGACCTATGCTTGTATATTCACCTTTGTAGTTTGATGTATGCAAAGTTTGACTGTATTTCACCCTTTATATTACTTTACATTACAAGGCAGGGAATTATAGAGATTTATTTCTACAAATACATATAAAATGTCAAGGGGCAAGAAGGGAATTTGAAAGACGGAATTTTATGTGGAATAGTGCCTGTAACTGTGAGACCACTACAACTGATTGCAATGAGTTCCCTCTTCAATGATGAATTAACCCTCGGGTGAGAACCCCATGTTTAAGGGCTCTATTTCGAATTTGTCGTTACACCTGAAGTTTAAATAAAAATCAATTATGTAGTGTTTAAATTAAGTTTCTCTTTTGTAATAGTTTGTTTTCGTCGTATTCCAACAGTGTTTATCGATTACTGATTGTAAACCTAATTGAGTTTGAAACTAAATCCGTCTAATAAATATAGTTTATGCATCGCTGAGGGACGTATTCAATTTACAATATCATTTTTAAACTTTCACGGCTGATGGGAAAAAATGAAACGCACTATAATAGCGTAAATTTAAACTTCGACCATATAATTCACATATTCAAGGTGTCTCGCGTTTTCCGGCTGCATGCGAGCAAGTTCTCATATCGAGTAAATAGCGTTCCAGTATCTATATTCGCTGAGTGTTTTTTTTTCTTATCCAATACGTGAATCGACTTGGACGGTATAGAAAATTGCTTTTTTATGTCATCCACTTAGATTTATGCAATTCTCAGGCAAATACTTCTGCTGCTATCCGCTAGAATTATCGGGTTATTAAGATGGATGTCGTGGTGGAACGCATGATAGTACCAACAACATACTGTGTTTTGGCCGTTATAGGAATATTTGGCAATGGACTGGTTATCTATGTAATGACTTTTTTCGTGAAGGTGAGTGAGCTAGATACTATAACCGTGGAACTCATAAAATTAGAACATTTGTGAAATTAGAAGGCAAGAAGTAGATATAGTTGTAAAATGGATAAACTACTACTGAAAATACCATTTGAGTCGCCATCACAGAAAACAAACTAAAACTAGTTAAAAATTCACTTATTTTACCGATCTTCACTACTATTTGTACACAGCTGTGCATACGGTTACAAAACTTAATTTTCGTCTCGGGTTACATGAGTAGACAATCTCTAGATATAAAATGTTGTCGAAGTCAATTGTTGATTGTATAATTGATATTGATTCTACTCCTAAAATTAATCAGCCAGAGATTTGTATTTTTAGACAAAGTCCGTTACTGATGTTTACGTTACAAACTTGTCTATTGCGGATTTACTATTCGTTTCAACGCTTCCTTTCTGGGCGCACGAACTATTTTGGGACAATTGGATATTTGGAGATGCATTATGCAAGGTTATGATTTACTATAAACTTTCATTGAATATCTTTGTTATTAGTTGAGAAATTCAATGCTATACTGTCACATCTGAAATTAGAATATCTCATTTGACAGCGATTTTGCTAACCTTTTCGCACTGTCGACGGCGTCATAGCAGTAAATTGACATTAAACAATTTTGAGATCAGCCGTCTTTGTTTAGATAATGTAAATGGAATTTTTGTATATTTTGGATTGTTTATTATTTCACATGCTGAAAACACATTTGTCAATTTAAATTTGTGCGGAATATCAGGCATGATGTATAGCACAATTCAGTAAGGTTCTAGATATGATATAAAAAAAATTGGGCTAAATTGTTCAACCCGTTTCAAAATTGTAATAACGCTCTACTCCGCATTGCGTTATAGCGCTGCATCACGAAGTAATGTATTCTTCTTTATACTACCCAACGCCGATTGTAGATTTTAATTTGGCCGGGTGACAGACACAAACACATAGGACACGCAACTCAAATGCTCCGAAACTTAGCACTTACTGTTGGCACAAATATTACCACTACAAAGCCAAAACCCCATTTTAGTAGCATAATTGATTTTGTTCATTTTTACGTTCAACGGAGCTGCACAATTATCACACGATGGATCGGCGATTTGATGTCCACAATATCACTTTATCAAAATCTTGAAGACACTCATAAATGTCGTTTAAGGACACTTTTATTATTAAGAATCCCAGCAAAATTCAAATATACACAATTGCATATAAAAACTTCTAAACGTTCGGTGTACTTTATGACAAATGAATATTAAAAAATGAATATCACATTGAGATACCATCATGAAGTAGCTGTGGTGACTTATCGTCAACAATTTGGCATCTGGCATTTCACAATTTCAACAAATATTGAATCAGTGCTCTCCCATTAATGCAAATTTTGTCTCAAGGGAGCAGTGTTAAATGCATCTTACCTAAATCCAACATGCTTTTTTGAAAATGTTCAGCTAGTTTTATGAAATTCGGCAGCTTGTAGACTGGAATAGTTTAAGTGAAAAGCAATGCCAACAATTTAGTTACACTTGGTGACAGTTTCCTTAAACATGCGAACGAGCTATGGAGTACCATATAAATTAAAATACAAAGCAAAATATTACCAAGAAAATACAACACAGGTGAATTGATCTCGCTTCGCGTAACATTCTTTTTGAAGTATAATATTATGCTACTTTTACCGAGTGAGATAAAGCTAATTTTTAACGCAGACCGCAATTATTTTTAGAAAAGGTTCAGTATTATTTCGTCCCATTTTGAATGGCAATTAAATAACTCTCAGCACAAAATTACACAGCATGTGAAAATTGCCACTGCAATTGTAACACGTGGTACAGACTGCGATTCATCGAACCACCGTGCCTTATCTTATACTATTGTCTTATTTCTAGTATCTATAGATGAATTTCTGAACGTTATCACATGTTTCATGACAATTGATTTGAATTTATTACTCCTAGAAACTAGATGAAAAACCTACCAAGTCATATTTTTTTCCAACAATTATAAAAACGTGATTTAATATTGAAAAATATCGTCTGCTTATTACGTTATATTAGCATTTGTGCTTTCTGTAATACAATACCGTGTGTATGAAAGCTTTAGGCTATGTGATTGATTTTAATATATATATATGTATATATATGTGGAATTTATTTCTAGTTATTTTTGAGATATTGACTTCCAAAAAACTCTATACAGCTCGTTGCTTAAATTTTACTAGATGAACCGAGATTTTTCAGATTCAGCAGAGACTTTCTTAATTACTTTAAACCTTTTCGTCTTTGTACTTACACGTTCTATAATTGTGCCAGCAAATAAACGAAGTTGCTATACAAAAACTCCTGAAGGATAAAATGTCCATACATTGATGCGGACTAATCTTGCACGCTACGGACCGTACAGCCGAACTTAAATCCGATTACATAATTGTGACAAAATACGACCATGCAATTTTCCAGATGATGAATTCCATTTCCCATAAGAATTGATTAATTCATGTGCGTGCGTATTTAATCCGTTGCAGCTCATTGCGAGCTTGTGACGCTCTCTTTTCTAAGCCAATCCCTAGAATCAAACTAACGGCGACTGACTTGCGATCGAAACATCATCTCAAATTCTAATAATTAGTATGATCAAGTTATTTGAACAAATTATCCCTCGCTTTGATAGCACCCCACTCCGATAGCTTTTGTTAAGCATGATATAAAAACTGTTCATTTTTATGGACAGAAGTATTTGCGGGTAGTACACTCATGGGCCTGGAATGCCGGCTTCAAGTAAAACAAACTTTGAACTTTTGAAATAATCAACAGTTTTTATTTCAGATTTTGAGCGCCGTATCCTTTTTCAACATGTACGGATCGATCTTCTTTCTGACAGCTATGGGATTAGACCGTTGGTTAGCTGTCGTCCAGGTATATTACATTCTATGTTTGACTTGCTATCTAAACAGGTGCTGGATTGATCGGATAGACTGCGCAATTAAGGGAAATGACTATCATGTCGATCATATAGTAAATCATACATTTACGTATGTGGGCGATATATAATAAGGAAAATATAATCCCATATACGAATAACAAATAAAGATTGATCTTTTATTAAAATTATTAGTCAGTCGAATTTGTGATATTCAATGGATATTCATGCTCAAAAACGTATCCTATAATACTGTATAACAAGTTTTCAATACGAAAATAAATTTCGTTTTTTTTCCCTGTCCAAAAAACAAAAGTTCTCATCTTCTTAATAATTCATTATTCTCGTACTATTGGTATACGTATAAAAATATTTTCAGGCTGTTCAAAGCAGAAAAACTAGGACGGTACGAAGAGCCTGGATAAATACAGGAATTGTTTGGACGGTGTGCCTCATATTCACCATTTTCCCATTAGCATTTCGTAATACATTAGTACTGGGAGAAGATAGGTTTGTTCAAATACATTACATTTACTATTGATACAATAGCCTTTAACTATCTTGGTTCACAGGTTAAAGTTCCCAGTCCCAAGATTCATGCCCACTACTCCACCCTTGATGTAATAAAGGTGGTTAGTTAACATTGATAAATACAAAAATAGTAGCTTGTGACAAATCGTTAACTGTGTACACAGAGTTTTTCACGGAGAGGGGGTTTAAAAATTTGGTATAAAAAATTGTCCACGGAAGCAAGATAAAATTTGAAAACAGAAAATTGTTTATTGAATGTACGTTTATTAATCGTTACCTTCGATAACTGACTGGTCAGAGTCCTTAAGTTCTAATTATCACCATCTGAAAGAAATTTAATTTGTTGTATAAAACTCACTTAATATGTGAGTAAAATTGGGAAGATATCGATTTTTCATAAATTTCACTCGTTCTGTTTAAATTGCAATTTTTATTGTAGCCACCCACGCCAGGGACAAGCTGTCAGATTTGTCTTGAATGATTTTTGTCTTGGTGTAACCTCCTCCTGTACGAAAGCAATATGCGACAATAAAGACAAGGTCTACAATTTTTAAACTGATAAATAATCAACATATCCTCATCATACGTTGTTCTTGGAATGAAATTCACTACAAAAGCTAGTTACGAAAAAAAATTTACAGGTTTAACATTTTAACAATATTATAATATTTTTGCAGGGAACGATGTGCATGGATTTTTCCGAACAACTTTCGTTCACAATTGAATGTGGTTTATGCCCTTTCGCGTACATTGATTGGTTTTGTTATTCCTCTGTCCATCATTCTGTATTGCTACATCAGTATTCTCGTATTTATGAGAAAAAGAAGCAAGAATAAAGGAAAGAAATACAAAGGTATTATTGACATTTTCGCTCAAATGGTTAAATTCTCCTTCAGTTTTTTTTAATCATGATTTATACGATACCTTATGTTTAATGGCATATAAAACACATATTTCGCCTTAAATTAGACCCACTTCTGAGACTGATATTTTAATATTTTTCAGGTTTGTCGAGAATAACAAAAATGGTTGCTTTAGTCATCATTTGCTTTGTAATTGCTTGGCTGCCAAATCAAGTAAGTTTTATATTTCTAATTTATAATTTTTTGAAAAAAATGTTTCACGTTTTCGCTCTGAACAAGTGTCCGTAGAAACAATATGCATAAATTGGGAGCTACTGCAAAATAAGGAAATAAGTACATAAAAGGTGTAAATGTATACTAATTGTGCAATTTATAACTGCAGCCTGCAAATCATTTTATTGTGACATGAAAGTCGGCTTTTTACATTATTGGACTTCGACCTAAAAATTAAAGGCTGTATATCGCCAAAAATAAAATTGTTGAATTTTTCAAAGATACAAATGCAATTTTTGGTGATATTCTCGTTAATGATATGTGGTCATATTTAAATTATTTCCTAGCTTTTTATCTAATTTACACGAAAAAAATAATATAAAAGTAGAATCACTTAATACAGCATAAATGGTAAGACCCGGTTATTTCAAATGATCGGGACTTCTGCATAGAAAATATTTTGAACTGAACGTTTACAAGAATGTCGAGATGTTACCTAAATTATGATATATCTATTATAAAGTGGTTTACGCGAGGGCTTATGGTTTTAGGGCGGTTTAAACAACATTATACGTAAATGGTACAAAGATTAGACGATCGCATAATATCAATAAATATACAGTTTTTCGAAGTCTTTGGATTGTGAGACTTCAAAAATACACCACTTAACCGTGCTTTATCAAGCACGATAAAGCAAGGATATATGACTAAGCAATCAGTCAAAGCACAAATTGTCTCTGTTTGCTTTACATTTACTAGAAAATGAGAGGAAATTACAGTTTTTTTTAATTAGTTTATACTTACATACATGCTGGTTAAAATATTAGACTTGCATAAAAAACTGCGAAATATCTCTTATGTTCCGCAAACCGGTACGTAGGGATTTGTCTCTGCTACAAAGAACTTAGCTTATAAATAGGGCCGTCAAATTTAATTTGGAAAATAGCACTATTTTACTCGAAAATTTCAGTTAATATAAATGCTATCAAAAACGCAATGAGTTATTTTACCATCCCAAAATCACAGCTAACTATGCCTTCTAAATACTTCTGAAACGATTTATATATCAAATCGATGAATAATATGATATGAACATATGTTTATTTATAAAATTTAATTTCAAGAACCCATGTCGAAATCAAACATTATCACTGCAGCTGTTGACACCATATTTTGTTTTTATAGACTGTGAATGCATTTGATAGCGTTAATCCCATAATTTATTCTGACTATTTTTGAGTACTACAAAGAGTTGATGGAATGCCGATAAATAGATCTGCGGCTCAACAATCATGCATTTATCGTAGAACCATTAAATGGCGAAAAGCTCTTGAACTTGATATTTTAAATCTCATGAGATGTGGAGGTATATATAGTTCTTTGCAGTGGCAGCGGTACAAATACAATTACACCCACTTTTGTTTTCTGCCCTAATGTATTTCAAGGAAATAAGTCAGAAATAATATACATGCAAATAATAATGCAAATACGTTTATTTTTGCAACCATTTATTCAAAGTTAAATATTAAATTATTTTATTATAGGTAACTAACTTTACTCATTTTATGAGCTTGGTTGGTTTATTTCGTTATTGTCCAACGCCAACCGCGATTGACGTGAATGCAACACAAACAATTGGTTCTTCCGATCATTTTATCTCGTCAGGTTGGGGATTTAATGAAACTACGGTAGGTTGAATAACGTGTTACCAATAATTTATTTTCAAACATGATCAGCTAATTAAATGTGATATGATTTATATGATTTATGTGAAGCGAGCACAACCTCGTTGAAGTAGGCGACGTCAGACAAGGTATAAGTGATATGTGGAAACCCTGATGAAATTTTGGACAATGTAGTTATTTATGGGTTGGATATTTCCGAAATATTTCTTCCATATACTTAAGTCCAAAAATGACAGAAACCAAATTCTTAGTTCTTTATTTATCCTAGAATATGGTCCCAGTGACGCTGGTTTCAATTTCGTAGTTTACATACAGATTACATGATTACATTTTACGTCATTGGATGATACGTGGATTACAAGACGTATATACAAACATAGGCTTTTAAGGGCCATTGGATTATTAATTTTTAGCGCCTAGTCGGAATATTCGAGCAGATTAAAACAAAAAACAAGTTCCTCAATCCTGGCAAGAGAACGAGGATGCTTTGAAGTGATTTTTTAACGTAATTTAAAACTCAATTTTAGACCGAAAATTTCGATCAGGGAAAGATTTCGTCGAAATTAGAGATAACACAAACCGCTATGTACAGCACCCCACGATATCGAACTTCCCATCTTAATCCTATAAGTGAGACAACGACAATCTACTTATCAAACAATGTTCTAACAACTAGTATGGACCATACTACTGAATCTGGTAACTTCGCGGAAAAAATACCGGAGGAGAAGGAATCATCTCAAGCTTTATGTATCAAGTAAATATGAAGTTAATAAAATGCATTTGGATTTTAGGATAATTTCACCCATAAACGGAAAAAAACTAAAACAATTAGAGCCTTGTACTCAATTATCCAGGCTGCTTTTTGTAAATATGTTTTCTATTACTTTCATATCATCATTTACAATCTTATATTATGGACCAAACTTGAACACTTTCATAATTATAATTAATACACATACAAAGATGAAATGCATTTTGCTATATACAAATATATCTCACTACTTGAGATATAGGAATCTAATGGCTCACTAAAATATAGAAGTAGACAAATCCCGCTTAGTCGATTTTTATACAAATAACGAATACTAGCATAAAGATCCAGTGAGAGCAATATACTCATTTGGCTTCTACTTGAATGCATATTTTGGAAATGTTAAATGTTACTTGAATAAATGGTTAATATTATACTGCTATTTTTTTTAGAACGATTCGGTGCATTCATATGGTAACAGTTTGTCTTGGATTCGCAAATTCCGTCATGAATCCAATCATATATGCCTGTGTTGGTTCTGCACTTCGAACACAAGTATCCAAAGCTTTAGGTTGTTTCACGTTGAAGCAGAATTTCAGGTGACACACGTTTTAATTTATTAATTTAGAGTCAGCTACAAAATCTACACGCAACGATACATTTCATATTTATTCTCCTTATTAAATATATATAGCAGGGGCGGGCAACTGTTTATTACAATGGGAAAAAACAAAAAAATTATGGTGGCGCTTAGGGCCGGACCAACGAACAACCTATTAGTTTTCAGCAACTCGAAGTTTAGCTAGAAAGCGCCCTTACTGTAAGCTGAATGCCTGAATTTTGTTTCACACGGCGTGCGTATGCTGATCACAGTATTACGTTATTGAATGTTATGTTATTGAATTCATGTCAGACGAATTTTGATCCTAGTGTCACGTAGTTATATAGCACAACGTCGAAAACGCCGATCGTGCCGAAAAGTGAGAATATACAAGAAAGCATTAAAAAATAATGGGATAGTTGCCGTTTGTTGCAACCTTCTGATCTATTGAATATTTTCTATATTAAAGATTTCGTATTTTGATTGTAATTTATTATGATCAAAATGTGAAAGTCGTAAAATTGAATTAAAAGACGCACAACATGTCACCACACATGCATTCGGGTGTTGGGAGGCACGGTTGAAGTATCTATTACGTAACTATATGGTCATGCTATATGTTTAGCGACAGTATACTATACCATGTTTTTAGTGGTATTATTTGTTTAAGCGTTTACTTGCCATAAGCCACACAAGCTCATTCTTGAAAACTGTACCATACTTTGGAATAGCCAAGAATATTTGAAAACAACTTATCTAATTGAACTCAAGCTGTCTGAAAATCTATATATTTTTCGGCACTGTTAATTGATAAACTAAGATAAATAAATCATTGACAACCGCGGACTCTTTTTATTCATTTTAATTTTTAGACTTGGACCATTAAAAAATGATGTATCGCATTGAACTGATCGCGCAATCGTCTGCAATACTATCGACAACATTATGAAACTTGGGAGTCCTGGGTGTTTACTTGCGATGAAATCGAAATTACGTTATTTCATTCATCTCTTACAAATTTCTAATATGAAAAGAAAAACAATAGCCTTAGTGTGTAATGCGATGAACCCCTGGTATGCGTTTGGGCTCATCACGGAACCCCTATTAACAATTATTCAACAACACCCATATATGAAATATTTCTGCATTGGGCACTCCAACATTAACAATGAAAGCTATTCCAGAAGATGAAATGCAAAAAAAATTCAATGAACCCCCTGATATTAAATTTCTCTCACAAACTTTTGAATCGTGGTTCAAAATTGCTCAATGGAATATTTATGCAGATATCTGGTATTTCATTGATGGGTATAATGTTAAACTACATATATTAACAAAACAGGTTTAACCATCATAAGTTCCAACTCGGGGTACAATCAAATTTAGTAGACGATGCCAAACTGCGAAAAATTCAGCCTTCTGAATGATGATAGCTTCGCATGTGTATATAGCTGGTTCCTGGCTGTACTATAGAGCAGTGGTTCCCAAACTTTATAGAGTTGCGACCCACTATTTATTACCACAGCTTATGGCGACCCATTTATATTCTTTTATTTTTTTGGTGACATAACACAGCAATGGCTAATCATCGCAAAGCTACCGTGTTTCCTCGAAAAAAAGACCTGGCCTGGAAACAAGACCCAGTTTAAATTTTAAAATGATTTTGATTAAACCCTACTCTTAAAATAAATTTAAAATGAGTGGGAGAGGAAAGGTTCAATGACCTGAGGTAAGGTGAAGATCACACCACAATTCAAGATTGCGTGATGTCACAATCACAATTATAATATTTGTCACTTGCTTTTTGGATAGGAAATACAAATAAAAAGAATGGATGTCGGTTTTTATATAATGTTTATTAAAAAATCTCGTGATTTTCTACAATGTAATTTTATTTTCGATAAATGAACACAAAAGACCTCTTTCAAAAAAAAAACATGGTGTTATTCTTCAAACGAAAATAAATCTAAATCCTGTCTACATTTCGGGGAAAACGGTAAGAAGTGCTGTACAGTGTACAAAACTGCTATGCGTGAAAAAGCCACATGGTCATTCTTTGTGTAGCAAATTTTTGTTCCTTTGAGAAGATCGTAAAAAGGAAACTTTCACAGATTAGAATTTAAATTCAATTTAATTCCTTTTTTTTTTGAAGATTTACGTATTCCATTCGCCACTGATCCTAATAACCAGTACAAATAATCAAAGCTTTTCACATCTTTTCACGACCCACTAAGATTCCTTTTGCGACCCACCACTGGGTCGCGACCCATAGTTTGGGAACCGCTGCTATAGAGCATTATTCGGAGTGAAGATTTGAAATAATGATGAATACAAATATGCCGATGGAGATGCCGAAAAAGAGACTCATATATTATATTTTTTTGTCAGTGGAAGATCGGTAATCAGATCCAGGACGTTGTCCACATATTTCAGATCTAATGCGGATGGATCTGAACGAACGAAACAAAGACGAGGTTGCTTACCATATTAATTATTTTATTTTTTCATGTAAACACACATTGTTTTTGTGGAAAAGCTATTATACTGCTAAAATAATGAATTATCGACGGGTATACCTAACCATTTTGGCATCGCAAATATAAGATACCCTCAGCCACATTGATCGCCTTTTAGGACCACCTTCAGTCGCAGGCTTCCCGATTCACTACTAGCAGTCACAGCAAAATGTTCGTTCAGAATAGGATAACAATAGATTGGTTTCTTGTGGAACCAATCCAATGTTGTATTGTGCCTTATCTTTTATGGCAGGCGTATTATCGGAAAATCAGATGACAAGTGGAAAAAGAAGAGATTCCTCCCTGAAAACCTTTGATAGGACTTCTGACCACGGGTCGGTGTTTCACGCAACTTCACGTCTCATGACACGAGATGACTCAGGAAAAAATTGTATTAGAAGCATCCAAATAGACAATAAAGAAGACAGACTTCAGACAGCTAATAATCCAGAAACGATGCTTCTAAGGTCATATGATGAATCCGAACCTTCCGAAGAGTTGTTTGGTGGAGTATGGGTCGGCGGAACAAATCAAATTTAAAGAATTATTTGACCATGCCGCCTCGTTCAAGACTACTCACTTGAAATCAATCTTCATTGATTAAGGATGTGACGAATGCCTATTTGAGTGATTTATGTTATATCGTTATTGATGTTTGCAGCTCTTTGTGCCGTCATACAGAACTAATTATATTGTGTGGCTAGTTCTTTGGATACATGCCAATTGAAATAACGTAAAATGAAGCCTCGTAAAATTGAACTATTACTTTAAATTCGAAATACTTATCAATGAGTCAGAGTTGGGTGGGAAAACCAACTTACAAGAAATTCCACTGTAACTGTTTTGTTTTTGGCTGAACATATCAGCAATGGAGAAGAAACCTATTTGTTCAGAAATATAAATAAAAGTTATGATATGGCTCCCGTTGTAAGATATACAAAATTTTCTTTTTATGTGATGTTTAATGTAATATTGACTTTTTGATTTTTTTTAGTCGTACTAAAACTCACTACAATTATCTAATGTTATCTATAACAATTGCGATGCCGTCTTAGGGCGAAAATTTCGCGTTTTAAAGTATTCTTTGCTTTGTCAATTTATAATTTGTGTAAAATAAATGGAAACTTTCAATGCAAGGTTAAAAGGGGGCATCTATATTGCAGGTTTCTTACTGAATGGATCATTACAAAGCAATAATGGAAGACCACGCCAGATATTGATTTCTATTCAAACTCGAAATAAAAAAAAAATGAAAAATAGAACTTACAAAATAACAAAATTCTCAATGACAGAGGTGCTCTCACAAAACAAACCCAGAAAGAAGGAAGCGACATGCGGGAGAATTCACAAATGCCAGATTATTGGTTGGAAGAGACAGTCAAATTGGCTCACTTAAATATATTTGGGACTCGTGTGTTATAAAGCATGGGAATAATACATGCAATTAATAATTAGTATCAAATTTTGAATAAAAAATCAGCTCATTCAACCCAATAAGGCCAATATGAATCTAAAGCACTTATAAAATTAAATGATTACGCAGACTGGCAGGACTAAGATATTCCGAAAGACTTTTCTAAAACACAACCTAGTATCCATGATTAAAACGAGGAAACATTTTTGCAATAGCCTTCTAGTGAATATTACAATCTTTAACTACTGAAAATTTGAAAGCAAATGGTCGAATAGTTAATAATCTACAGTACCTAGTCTACAATGCGGTATAAAATAACCTCGGACGAAAACGAAAAAAAAAACGGAATTTAGATGAAATATCTGATCTAATAGGAAATTAGGAACAAATAAAAGTAATAGCCTTCTAGGCGACAACAATCTTTAACCACAGAGCAATTGGTCCAGTAATTATGGAGGAAATCGATATTTTCACGACAACGAAAACAAGAATTCTAACAACAATAACATAATATTAGAACTATTCATTGGTCATCTTCGTGCCCAATAAGTTCGACACGCTATAACCTGTGTCGCACACTTCTGTCATTTGTTGGTGTTCATTTATATCGACCTAATGTAACTATTCTATATTATAACACCCAGTGTGTCATTCTTTACGGTACCTGATTTTTTTCCATAAGTAGACATCTTCTGGCACTTCACAGTGTAACCACATGGCTAGGTCACCTTCAAAATTCCCCAACCTGGGGTATCCGGTATCTTTCAAAGCAGCATTCATGCTTCAATTAATCCAGATAAAATCTGGGATTCCCCGTCGTTGGTCAAACTCTTGTGGCTCTTGTGAAAGGGAAATTTTTTATCACAATTTCTATTAATTATCTGTCTCTTAGTGAAACTGTATAATTTTTTTTTATTGGCTGATAAGCAATCTTAACTGAATCTTAACATATATAAAGTACTCTGTATTGGTAGAGAAACCGCACCGGTACATGTACAAACTTAGCCGGTATCATAGGTTACCGTTTACTAATAATGTTGAAAGCCACCATGAAAGACAGTAGATTCCAAACTCTAAAAATTCAACTTTTCTCAAATTAGATATTTGAAATTCGGATGTCGCTGCTCGATAACCAGCTTTAGTTCCCCGCGACTTCCATTTCCCAGTAAAACTGTCTATTTATCATTTTCTCGTAATTTGTGTTCGATTGTTGTTGATTTTACTGGTTGAAAAAAATAAACTTGACTTGCGAAAACAAATAATTGCACACGATATGGATATTTTGTTATTACGTTGTTGTTGTAATTTTTTTTTCTTTTTTTCTTCTCAAATACTAGACTAATTGCTTCGAGATTATTAGTGGTTAAAGCTTGTTGTTGTCGTTAGTAGGTATAGTTAGTATTACTTTTATTCATTTTAAAAGTATGTGTGGCTTCTATGGGATTCGTTTTTCACTTTAAAGTTTTGTTTAATGACGTCATCAAAATTAAAACTGCGTGCCGTGGTTCCGTGATCACAGTGATACTGCAAAAGATTTGATATTTCCTCGTTTTAGCATTCGTCTATATATATTATAGCATCGCTTGTTAGCAATAATGGTGTCCAAATTGGCGCTGTACCAGATGCACCAACTCCATTTTAAACTTCTGGGCCATCAAACATTGTTCAGAGGGGACCTCAAAAATATACAAATAAAATGAATATTGTGTAAAGTGAATTGATGAATATTTCAACTCCTCATTATAAAAGTAATCAGGTTCAGGATGGAAAGCATGTACAGTCTTGCAGTTTTATTAAACTGTACTTTCGATAGTGGTTTGTATTCAGTAAATTAATTTCATCAGACTCTAACCCATTCAAAATCAAATTCCGAGCTTATGGGTCATTATTAACCCAACCCCCGAATGCAACCTTTAGACAACAAACTGTGGCATTGGCAAACCTCAAACTTCCGCATAAAATATCACGAAATAACGCATGACTATAACCTTACTCTAACTGCTTAATTGACTCGGTAAGCGTTGATATTTTCATGAAATTCGGAATTGCGCTTTAAGAACTTGTGAAAACTTCAGGAGTGTAATATCCGTGTGACTGATAGATTGTCATTTCTCGCATTTTCCATATAACGGCGTGTTCACAAACTTTCTACAGTCGGCTTAGTTTCTTTCACTTTAATCTGATGAGTTTTGATTATGCAGTTTGAAAGTTTATTGCAATGCACCGACTATAAATGACTTGTGGCATTAACGATTATCTTGAATGTGTCAAATATATGGGTGATTATTGTATGTTACAACGAAAATCGACGAATTATGGCAATTAAAAAAACAAGCATGCCATCTTTTCAGATTGATTGCAAAGTTTACGAATCTTAATCTGTTACTACAATCCTTGCTATGCTAATATTCCAAAAGCTAATACCTGTAAGCTAAAATTAGCGGTTGTGTACACACCGATGGTTCTGCATCACAGATTTTTAGAACTATTCGTTTCTTTTATTTGCATTCTAATGCTAGACATCAAGATTTCTTTAAATAATTCCAATCCCTCCGTTTTCAGATTGTATCATTTAATTAAATATTTGTCGATGAAAGGAATGAAGAACCATGTCTGAATTGATTTTCGAATAGATATTTTATATGAATTTTTTTTCATAATAGTGGGTTAGTTTCTTGGATACAACAGCACTACATATAAAATTTGCATTATCAAATGAAATTGTTTCTAGGTTTAGGTGGTGTCGGCACAACTCGCGCGTCACACAGATGATGAAGCATATTATCTGCGACGCGCTTGATCAGACAGAATGTTTTACAAAGTCAAGGACGTGCTAAATTTCGACGGGTCAAGTACAAGTTTGCACACAGACTTCTTTGTTAATGCCAAAAAGCGATTTCACACATCTATTCGCTAAACGTCGAATTACATGCTCGAGAATTTTCGAATATTCACCTGGTCCTTATGGAAGATTTACTCTATAGTGTTCACGGGTTATTGCTCCAAGTCTTGACTTCTGCGTATCTCAGGAGGTGGTTGTATACAACTTATGGATATGCTGTTACTTTTATAAATTAAGATATATATTGCGTAAAACAATTCAAGTTTGGCGAAGATGATGGCAAAGAACAAGTTAAATAAAAATGCGGCGTCATTGTTATTCTCAAAATTATGATTAAGCAAGTTTGATATTACCAAACTCATCATTTTAGTGATCAGATATAGTAATTACGGAGATGTCTGTCAAGAATTTGCTTTATGTAATGTTGTTTACTCTTATTTTAAATATTAACAAAAATATATTCCAACTTCTCAAGCCTCAACCGTTAATAGGTAATGAATCGAAATTAGAGCAAATATGCTGTTACTCCGTATAACATTTACATTACATCACTTATTTACATTACTCAACTGTATGTCGTACTAGTAAACTATTAGTCACTTGAAGATTCAAGAGGTCTGGGACAGTAGAATGGTGTGATAGGTTTGACAAAACTGAATCATACCGATGTATTTCTTACGTTCGTCAAAGTGAGGTAGCGCAATTATCTGAGGCTACGCGAGATCATCCTCCTACATAATGTTGATAATTTAGACGCCACACTCTTGTAAATCTTTAGAAAAATAAAATTCAAATACCTACATGGGAGGTTTAATCTATTTTATTGTTGCGGGTTGTCTATGTTGCATTTGTTGTAATTATTTGTTTAAAATGAAAAATCGAGTGAGAGATTCGGAAGATATACATCGAGTTGAGAACGGCCGCATCTCTACGGACTCTATTGTTCATGTTGAGAATATCACACGATCGCAGACGGGTAAGTTTTTGACACAAAGTGGCCATGGATCGTTTAAGACATTGATTTTGTTGTGTGCGAAGTTATTGCTTTGTTCTCGGGCTAATCACATTCAAAGTAGTTTAAGTGGACAGTGTTTTTTGAACATAGTTCTATATTCTTTTCAAATTCAGCGTTGGCTACACGGTAGGGATGTCTCTATCGTTTATATTTTCGTTCAGCGTTGTATTCGAATAGTTTTTTTTTTCAATTTCGGTTCATCGTAATTTAGAAAGTGCGCAAAACCGGGGCGGCGGCCGCTCGATTTTTTTGCCAGGCGTAGTTAAACATCGGAGTCGGAAATTCTCAAGCTACCTTTTCTGAAACAGTCGCCGCGATCACGCAACTCGTTAAAACAGTCGATTTTTTCAGTGGGTGATTTTTCTGCTGTGCAAAATATTCAATTCCTGACGGATACGAGCATTTAAAATGTCTTTTCACATTAATTGTGTTCAACATAAATCGCGGTTTCGTCCATTTACGACAAAATGAAAGCACTTTTATGAAATATCATGGCAATCGGCAAATATGAAAATACTTGGTAAACTGTCTGATTATATCAACTATTGATTTGTATTTTTGCGATCTGGCGAATTCCTTAAATTTCTGACCAAAAATAAGGGAGTAAATACTACGACTAAAATACAGCGTTATAAAATACTAAAGGATAATCGAAAAACACTACTAACTTTGAGCCATCGACAGATAAAACAAAACACTATGTCAGACGCTGTTAATCGCCAAAATTATGGTTATTAACATTTGGAAACTATATCATAGTCACCGCAGTTAACGGGTAACTTTTCGCGTGACATACTTTCTTAGCCATTCTTAACCGACATAGTACCGATGTTCATTCCCTAAATAAACACGTCAAGCCGAAGAAAACAATCGGCGATGCAAACAACATTAGCCTGTAAAAATCGCACTCGTTTATCAGCACTTTTCAATCTCCTGAAAATTTTGAAACGGGAAGGTGGAAATTTACATATTTGTATTTTTTTTTGTTTCCGTGAAATTTTCGAAAAATAACTGGATGCTCATTATTACAGCAATGTGTATCAGGTCAATTTGATTCACTTTGTGTCATGTCATGTTTTTCTTTCACCCACCTATGTTGGGGAATAAAGCAATTTAAAAACCCGTCCAGCATTGCTTTTGCTCAATTAATTTAGTTTGAACGATCTTCGAAATATTTTTTCAGTGTTATTCTAGAATAGTTCAGTATTCGGATATAGACATCCCTACTTTTCGAGTCTTTTCCAAATTCGATTGACTTGACTATTGTGCCCGTATATTATTTGTTTATCGCTTTCTTGCTCATATTCATCAATTTTATGTCGATGCTAAATAAGATATTTGATGGATGTTTAGAAGACGCGGACATTTATTATATATACATGTAGTTTAGTTCTATCATCGCAGTGTGATATTTCAAGTAAATATTTCTAGACCTCCAGCAAAATTTGGAAATGAGCAGCAACTATCTTGATCTTCCACCTAGTTATGATGACGTTATGAAATCTATCAGAGACGATTCACACGAAACATCTAGTTCTGTCGCTGAAGAAATGTCTACCGAAGAGTCGGTTAAAATGGAAAATGCAGACCCTGCAGTGTTTAATCCACACCGACCAGACTCTTCCACTATAGCCAATAACCAGAATGGTAACTGTGTAACAAGTTTATAAAGCATAACTTTCATGTAGTAGTATGGAATCCTGTTCAAGAAGCAGATACCAACCATGAATAACAGTGAGTGTGTAAAGTGCTACAGAGCCATTTGTGAACATGGCGAACAAATAACTGTACATCACTCCGTTTAAAATAACTATGCAGAAAGTCAACGACCGAACATCATGAACTTTTTCCCGGTCTTTTGGCGAAACGGAAGTTCGATTTTTAGTGTACATCAATTCATGGGAACGCTGTTTTTACATAAGTAGTTTACCTCATTGGTCCCAACCGTTGCTGTGAGGGCCGGTGTCGGACGCTTGTACGAAGTATTTTCGAACAGATAAAATATTACCTATTCCAAAATTTATCCAATCACTGAATACAGAATGAGGGAAAACTTATTTGACCTCAAAAGTCCGACATAGTTTTGTGTTTTGTAGCAAGAAATCTCGAATTTTATTTAAATACGAACAAATACTAATAAATTCAAAGTTTATTTCTGTCTAATTGGAGCAGTATTGCATACGGATTAGTTGGGAAAATATCGAAAATTACCGGGTTAGAAACCACTGGTTTAGACGTGGCTAACCTACCATCTCATTGACATACCCGAGGCTCAGCTAACGCCTAGTCGTGAACAATAGGAATTGCTGGTGATCGGACATCATTTGTAATTTTTATTGAAGCATATAAGAAAATTTATTGCGGACCACAAAAGTTATAAAATAACCATATCTACAAAATATAAAAATCGATATCCATTTACTTATAAGTAACACATTTTTTTATTCAAATGAATGCAAAACATAGTTTATCAATCATTTTAAATGTGTAGGGGGAATTTCTTGCTATCGACTAGGTCAAAAAAATTTTCGCGTTATTGATTAGGTCATATTTTAAGTGGAGGGGGCTTATATTAAAATAAATTTTAAAATTCAGGCTAGGTCTTATTTTCGGGGAAACATGGTAATACATAAAAGGCAAGTTTATTTACATAATGTTAATCAAATCATTACTTGTAAATCAGTAGGGTTGGGCAGTATATTAGAATGGAATATAAAAAATATTCGAATGACGTTTTACTATTCCCAACTAGCTCTTTCTGACATTAGGATATACTTGGGCCCAGGGATGGCCATTTCCAAATACTTGACTATTTCGAATACATTCTAAAAAAATATTTTCGAATCTGGAATTTCGAATACATTCCAAAATCCTCTACATAAGTTTTATTCACTTTTTTTTAAAATTCAAGGTCATAGGAATTGGGCTTTAATATTATTAATTGTAAATACCAGGCTTGTCCATAGGAAATGTCCCATGGGATGGGGTGGGACAGCACACATTTGTATTTCCCATTGGACACGGAATCAGTATGATTTTCAGGGAAACGATGGTAAAATATTTCGTTATAGATTTCGTGTCCATATATTTGAGCATAGCTCTATTGTTAGTTATAAAGAGTAAAATAGATTCAGCCTTAACAATAGACTTCGTGAAGGGGCTGAAGGACACATGTATAATAGTTATGAATATAAAGTTAACAAAGTCCGTAAATTTTGTTGTGTTGCATGTCTCTTCGTACATGCAGTCCTATTTAGTAGACGCTAAACCCAAATTTAACAATTTTTATTGAATTTTATTCCAATGGGAATCCCATGGGATGGGATGGGACAGGCATAATTGCTAGGGGATGGGAATGGGACAGAAAAATATGTCCCATCTACAAGCCTGCATACTAATGACATATGTGATATGATTCAAATTAGTGGTTTTCGTGCTTCTGAGAAAAAAAAGACTACACTTTTACATTACAGTATTTATACCTATGAATTGTCTTGTATCTTGTGAGGCATAGAAAAAAGTGCAACTATGCGATTAGTGAAATGTTGTGAATTCTACATTAAAATCCAAGTTCTTGATATCGCACACACTTTTTGACACGGGTAATTTTTGTTATAAATTCTGTCTGTTTATCGTCAACGTGAGTGTTATTTAGTCCATCGACATCGTTAGCTTTGGTAATTTTTTTTTGCTCACGTAACTTTGTGTTAAATCAGAAAAACCGCAACTGTTGTAACGCGACCATCTTACCGATTTCCAAATTTTCATCCGCCCAAGACGGAGAATTGAGACCGAATATCGTGTAAGCTGATATTTTATGACGAATGTTACTTTTTATTTTTGCTTATAAATTAATAATTAATTATGAATTAAAATCAGACTGAACGATATTATTATAACGAGATAACAATGAAATTAGCGATAGGAGCTTTTTTATACGCGGTCACTATCGAAACTGAGGATGAAAATAATCTATTCCGACACAATTTGCTTTCAGATTTATAGCTGTGGCCGCACAGACTATCTCAACTATGTTAAAATATACGATAATAATGGTAAAATATTTTCAATCAAAACGTCTTCGGCTAGTTATAAGTACTTAAAGTCGGCGCTGATTTAAATCCTATTCTATCTCCCCATATCGCCTGAGTAGTGCTTTATTTTACCTTAAGTCGACGCAAAGGCGAGTTCCGACGAAAACAATTAAATTAATATGGCAATACATTTTGAAAAAGCTTGCATGTACCATGGATTGAATATTTAATTACTCTTCTGATTTAATATTCAGTTTTTATCAGTCATTTTATCACATTTTATGCTCTGGAGTCGGAATAAACTCATCTTATCTTATAAACTTAAACTTATCAGTTGAAAAGCATTGAATGCGTGGGTGTGAGATGCTTTTCGGTCGGGTGTGGCTTTTAGTTGTTGCGTGTATTGAAAGAACGCATTCATGATGGAATAAGCCAGTTTGAATTTCGAGGACTTATTTCACAATATCTCGGATTCCATGTAATCTGTGTAATGTGTAACATTTCAAAATTTCCGGTCCACGAACGCATGTAATGTGCATGCCTTTGACTTATTCTATTGCGCAAAATATTCAATTTGTGGCCGATTCAAGCATTTCAAAATGTTTTTCCATAATAACTGTTTTTAACGTATCTTGCCATTGCGTCGACTTACGTTAAAATAAAAGCACTTCTACTTTAAAATGCCACCGCATTCTGCAGATATGAAAATACGTGGTAAGCTGCACGGATAAATTCAGTTTTATTACGTGTTTTTGCGATCTTGCGAATTTGTCAAATTTGAGCTATTCACAATAGAACTGTGTGGTGGTTTTTGGTCAACTCACCGCAAAATTTTTGTGAAATCGGTTCTCTAAAATTAGCAGTAACTACCCGGTTAATCGGATAGTCAAAATCATTGAGGTGTATATAACTAGAGAGCGCATAGGAGCAAAGATTTTGTGCCGAATTGAAGGCCGCGGCGGCCATCTTGGTACGTGCGATTTTCTACCACTGTGAATCCAGCGGAATTTCAGCGGAAAATATTCTGCAGTTTTCAACCAGTTCCCATGCGGAAAATAATCTCTTATTACAATATTTAAAAGGGATGAATGGATCCTATTTGAAATAATATGTTCCGAAAGGAACAACTCAGACTAAAATATAAGTTTAAGCACATTTAGCTGGTAGTGGTAATTACAACATACATAACTGTATATCACATAAAACAGAAAAACTAAAACGTATTAGAATATAATTGCAGAATGAAAAAAAATACAAAATAAAAATAGGCTACATTTGATGGGAACACAAAAATATCGGACAATATTTTTTTCAATTTTACATGCAAACTCTAGGGTTCGAGACCAAATGCGAATATGATCCGCAAAGTGCCGACAATTTTTAACAGTAATTTTGATTAGTACCAATAGTGATAAGTATTATATACAAAAGTTGAAGGTAACAAAGCGGGACTTTATGATTATTGGGACTTCAAATACAGGCCAAAAACAAGATTTTCTAAAATTTGATGTGTACTCGACATATCAATGCCGAATTCGAATATGATCCGCAAAGTGCCGACAATTTTTAACAGTAATTTTGAATAGTAATATTAGTGATAAGTATTATATATAAAAGTTGAAGGGAACAAAGCGGGACTTTATGATTTATGGGGCTCCAAATACAGGCCAAAAACGAGATTTTCCGAAATTTAAGGCGTACTCGATATATCGAGGCCGAATTCGAATAGGTTGCTCAATATGCCGACAACTTTTGACAACAATTTCGATCACATGTATAAATCAAGTGTCTAACACCAAAGTATGATCAACAGCGGAACAAAACTTAACAAAATATCGCCCTTCAAAAATAGACGAAAAATTAGATTTTGCTGATTTTCGTGCGAACTCAATGATTCGATGCCGAATTCGAATATGATCCGCAAAGTGCCGACAACTTTTAACAGTAATTTCGAATAGTACCAATAGTGAAAAGTATTATATATAAAAGTTGAAGGGAACAAAGCGGGACTTTATGATTTATGGGGCTCCAAATACAGGCCAAAAACGAGATTTTCTGAAATTTTATGCGTACTCGATATATCGAGGCCGAATTCGAATATGTTGCTTTATATGCCGACAACTTTTGACAACGATTTCGATCACATGTATAAGTCAAGTGTCCAACACCAAAGTATGATCAACAGCGGAACGAAACTTAACAAAATATGGCCCTTCAAAAACTGACGAAAAAACAAATTTTGCTGTATTTCGTGCGAACTCAATGATTCGATGCCGAATTCGAATATGATCCGCAAAGTGCCGACAACGTTTAACAGTAATTTTGAATAGTAATAATAGTGAAAAGTATTATATATAAAAGTTGAAGGGAACAAAGCGTGACTTTATGATTTATGGGGCTCCAAATACAGGCCAAAAACGAGATTTTCCGAAATTTAAGGCGTACTCGATATATCGAGGCCGAATTCGAATATGTTGCTTAATATGCCGACAACTTTTGACAACGATTTCGATCACATGTATAAGTCAAGTGTCTAACGCCGAAGTATGATCAACAGCGGAACAAAACTTAACAAAATATGGCTCTTCAAAAATTGACAAAAAATCAGATTTTGCTGTATTTCGTGCGGACTCAATGCCGATTTCGAATATGATCCGCGAAGTGCCGACAACTTTTAACAGTAATTTTGAATAGTACCAATAGTGAAAAGTATTATATATAAAAGTTGAAGGGAACAAAGCGGGACTTTATGATTTATGGGGCTCCAAATACAGGCCAAAAACGTGATTTTCCGAAATTTGAGGCGTACTCGATATATCGAGGCCGAATTCGAATATGTTGCCTAATATGCCGACAACTTTTGACAACGATTTCGATCACATGTATAAGTCAAGTGTCTAACACCAAAGTATGATCAACAGCGGAACAAAACTTAACAAAATATGGCCCTTCAAAAATTGACGAAAAATCCGATTTTGCTGTATTTTGTGCGAACTCAATAATTCGATGCCGAATTCGAATATGATCCGCAAAGTGCCGACAACTT